AGTTTTTTTTTCAGCAGCCCCTGAACTCTCTCTAATGTTTTCCTAAGTGTCCATGTACACATCGTCGTTTACAGTCGTTTACAGGCATTTGAGTTTACAGTAATTTTTTTGGACGCAGAAAACTTGCGTTCAGCCGTCGATTTTATCAGTGTTTCAAATGCAAAACATGTGTAAATGCAGCATAGCGCGTTTATAAGCGTTTGAGTTTGACATTTTTTTTTTAACTTTTCCAGTTCCCGATGCTGTGCAGAGCATTTTTTCATCATGAAAAATGCATGCAAAGCGTTTTCATGGTACTCAGATGGACAAAACACTGAACACAGGATGTTCCTACCAAGTTTGTCACACATTGTAATGACCAAGTCACACCTCTCCCACCCTTGGAAACAAAAGATATGTTAATAATGCGCATTCACACCTCAAATTCCTCATGAAGACCTCCTGCCAGGTGGCCTTAATGTCTCCCTCCACCAGACACCTTTCCCACACTTGGAAACAAAAGAAATGTTCATGAGCAATTCACACCTAAACTAATCTCAACACATACTGCTGTCTCTGCTTCTACTCTCTGTATTTCTCTGAAGCAGTCTGAAATAGTTAATAATTTACCGCTTTTCAGAGCTTTCTGGGCATTTGAGAGGTTCTCCTGTGCTTATCTTTAAAAAACGTTTCTAAACACAAACACTCATAAACTCGTTATGCAAACGCGGCTAAACAGACATTTTTTAACCTACGTTTTTCAGCAGTCAGTTTCCATCGTTCAGAAGTGTCCCGTGTACATGGGGCCTAAGTGTATGAAAACTGTCAACCTGACACCCAGGTATTTGAATTCCTCCACCCATAGGAGAGGGGAAAGGGCCGCAGATTCTCCCATGAGACTTTAATGCAGCCAATAAATGCAACAATATATAAAAAGATGACAATTTTTATTTGTACAAATATAATAAAATCATTCCATGAAAACAGAGAACTCTGGTGTTATACATGCATTGCAAAATCAAACTTTGCAAAGTGAAGCTTTACCTCTTTACCTCATTTACTAAGCTCTGGAGAGTTGCAGAGTGCACAGTCTATTTGCCTTAAGTAAATTAACCCCATAATGTGGGTGGAGGTAGCGCCCCACAGCAAGGGAATTTTTTTTGGAGGGGAGGCATGAAGTTGGGCCTTATACCAAAAGTGTTATACTACACTAAACCTGTTATCCAACATCTATATAATGGCATTTGTTATTTGGAAACCAATTATAAAGGAAAAGTAGTAGTGAACAAACAAAAACTCACTTGTGGGTTTAACCCCTTGACGCCGACGTTACAGAAATATGCGGCCTCACAGAACTGGGATTTTTTCGATGGGGCCACATATTTGCGTACTGGTCTTTGTGCGATCAGGACCCGGGACTCCCAATTCCAGGTCACATGATTGCTGTGATAGCCTCAGATTGGCTTCTGTCACTGTGAAGCCCACCCCCCTTGGTTTTTTTCTCTCTGAATGGAGGAGAGAGATACATTGTATATCTCTCTCTTTCCTTGCAGAGAGGAAAAAAAACAACTGTTTGCAAAAAAAATAAAGATAAATAAATAAACATTAACCGGTTGCTGACCAGCCACAGTACATATACTGTGGCAGGGTGGCACTGCTGCGCAAAATCACGTATATAAAGGTAATTTTGCATATCAGGTAGGGGGCGCGCACGAGGCGCGCAACCACCCTACCCGCGCCACCGATTGCGGGCCGCGGGTGGCAATCACCGGGTCCCGGCGAGTCATTGCCCGCTGGGTCCTGGCGATTGCCGGCAAACAGTGACACAGGGCACAGCTGCATTGTTTTCAGTGCAGCTCTGCTCCCTGTCAGTTCCCAGTCCCCAGAGAGCAGAGATTAGCTTTCCGAGACAGTGTGTAACAGTGAAGTACACCCCCCCCCGCCCATTAGTAAACCACTCCCCTCACACAGTTAACCCTTTGATTGCCTAAAAAAGTTAACCCCTTCCTCCCCAGTGCCATTAGTACAGTGTCAGTGTTTGTTTTTTCACTGATCACTGTATTGGTGTCATTGAGGATGTCAGTGACCCCAAGTCAGGTCCCCCCCCCCCCCAGTGTCAGAATGTCCGCCGCAGTCCCGCCATAAAAATTTTTTAAAATCCAGTATCTATACCGCCATTTGTAAATGCTATAACTTTCACGTAAACCAATTAATTTACACGTATTGAGATTTTTTTTATAGCAAAGACATATCACAGAATACATTTTGGCTGAAATTTATAACAAAATTTGATTTTTAAATTTTTTTTTACTGGACATGTTTTATAGCAAAAAGTCCAAAATATTTTTTTTTCTCAAAATTCTCGTTTTTTTTTATAGCGCAAAAAATAAAAAACGCAAATGCGATTAAATACCACCAAAAGAAAGCTCAATTTGTGGGAAAAAAAAAGATGTAAATTTCATTTTGGTGCAGCGTTGCATGACTGCGCAATTGTCAGTTAAAGTAATGCAGCGCCGTAACACAAACCGCTTATGTATCTGCTTCCTGACCACCCTATAGCAGAAATACTGCTACAGGGTGGCACAGGTGCGCAAAATCACATATATATAAGTGATTCGTGCTCCCGTGGTTTTCACTCCCCTCTTAGATAGCAACAGATTGCCCGTCAGTACACCAGTCATCACATTTAACCCCTTCATTGCCAGGGCGACACTCATACACAATAAACCTCCATTGCTAGTATAGTGTCGGAACGGATCAATATCTTTGATCAGATCAGCACTATACCAACGTTCACATTAGCATAGCGTCCCCAAAAACGCAGCGTTAGCGGATCAGCCCCTGCACCTGCCAACACCTGCGTTTAGCCCCTACGCTTACCCCCCCTTCTCCCCCAGCAAGTGCAGTGTCAGTAGGTCACTGTCACTTGATACATTGCAAACAAAACCGCTGTGTTGGCAGAATCAGGCCTGATCTCTGTTAGCACTTGTCGGTAAATTTTGATGACTCTCATATGCAGAAGAGTGCCAGTACTAGTGCCATGCTACCTTTTGGTGAACTGACAACACCAGCAGTCTAGTACATCCTGGTCTTTCACATATCTCTTAGATTGTAAGCTCCAAGGATCAGGACCCTCCTAACCCTCTTCTATTGAACTGTATTTGTCAGGGCTCCAGGGTGTGACCAAAGGTATGTGACTGACGCAGGGAAACGCAGGCTTCAGATATGTTATAAATATAATTTATTAACACTAACAATACATAAACGCAGTGCAATACTAAAACATAACAGTGCAAACGAACCAAACCAAACCACCCACAGATAACAGTACATACAATGCAAGCGTCGTCAGGCAGGCCGGGATTACCAACAGGAGGTCAGAACGTATGGGGTTAAGCAGGAGAATGGTCAGACAAAGCCAGGGATCAGGAGCAGGAGAATGGTCAGACAAAGCCAGGGATCAGGAGCAGGAGAATGGTCAGACAAAGCCAGGGATCAGGGTCAGGAGAATGGTCAGACAAAGCCAGGGATCAGGAGAATGGTCAGACAAAGCCAGGGATCAGGAGCAGGAGAATGGTCAGACAAAGCCAGGGATCAGGAGCAGGAGAATGGTCAGACAAAGCCAGGGATCAGGAGCAGGAGAATGGTCAGACAAAGCCAGGGGATCAGAGCAGGGTCAGCAACGAATCAGACAGGAACAGGGAGCAGGAACAGGATACAGGGCCCAGGAGAAACACACACCAAGGCAGAGTCTGCAGGTCTGGCCATCCCTTAAATACACCAGTATAATCAGTTCCAGGTGTTTGGCTGGCTTCAAGGTTGAGTCTCTGATTGCTGGGAGCACCCGCTGGCCAGCCCTGGTACTGCAGCCCATAAGGCTGGTGAGTCCCACCATTGCTGGCCAGTCCATTCCTGACAGTACCCCCCCCCCCTCAAGGAGCGGCCTCAGGACGCTCCAAACAGTCCTAGCTGGGCAAAATGTTCCACCACCCGGGTCTGGTAACTGGCGGGATATCAAAGACTGGCACACCGGGCAGGACTCCGGCAGCGGCACACCGGGCAGAACTCCGGGCAGCGGCCCCATCGGGCAGCGGCACACCGGGCAGAGGCACATCGGGCAGAACTCCGGGCAGAGGCACACCGGCAGCGGCACACCGGGCAGTGGCACATCAGGCTGGACTCCGGGCAGCGGCACATCGGGCTGGACTCCGGGCAGCGGCACATCGGGCTGGAGCGGCACATCGGGCAGGACTCCGGGGCAGCGGCACATCGGGCAGGACTCCGGGCAGCGGCACATCGGGCTGGACTCCGGGCAGAGGCACATCGGGCTGGACTCCGGGCAGAGGCACATCGGGCTGGACTCCGGGCAGAGGCACATCGGGCTGGACTCCGGGCAGAGACACATCGGGCAGGACTCCGGGCAGAGACACATCGGGCAGGACTCCGGGCAGAGGCACATCGGGCAGGACTCCGGGCAGAGGCACATCGGCAGGACTCCGGGCAGAGGCACATCCGGGCGGAGGCACATCGGGCAGGACTCCGGGCGGAGGCACATCGGGCTGGACTCCGGGCAGAGGCACATCGGGCTGGACTCCGGGCAGAGGCACATCGGGCTGGACAGCGGGCATCGGGTCACCAGGCATCAGGTCACTTGGCTCGACAGCGGGCACCGCGTCATCTGGCAAGGCAGTGGGCTCCGAGTCAACTGGCATGACCGCAGGCACTGGGTCAGACATTGGATCGTCTGGCTGGACAGCGGGCATCGGGTCACCAGGCATCAGGTCATTTGGCTCGACAGCGGGCACCGCGTCATCTGGCAAGGCAGTGGGCTCCGAGTCAACTGGTATGACCGCGGGCACTGGGTCATACATTGGATCGTCTGGCTGGACAGCGGGCATCGGGTCACCAGGCATCAGGTCATTTGGCTCAACAGCGGGCACCGCGTCATCTGGCAAGACAGTGGGCACCAAGTCACCAGGCACGACAGTGGGCTCTGACTCAATTGGCACAACAGCGGGCACCGGGTCATCAGGTACCGGATTGTCTGGCTCGACAGCGGGCATCGGGTCACCAGGTATGACAGCGGGCACTGGGTCACCAGGCATCAGGTCATTTGGCTTGCCAGCGGGCACCGCGTCATCTGGCAAGGCAGTGGGCACCGGGTCACCAGGCATTGGATCGTCTGGCTCGACAGCGGGCATCGGGTCACCAGGTATGACAGCGGGCACTGGGTCACCAGGCATCAGGTCATTTGGCTCGCCAGCGGGCACCGCGTCATCTGGCAAGGCAGTGGGCACCGAGTCACCAGGTACGACAGCGGGCTCTGAGTCAATTGGCACGACAGCGGGCACCGGATCAGATACCGGATCATCTGGATCAACAGCGGGCATCGAGTCAACTGGCCTAATAGGATCATCAGGCTGGATCAGTTCATCATGCCGGGTAGAGGTATCAGGCTGAGTGGAGGCATCAGGCTGAGTAGAGGCATCAGGCTGAAGAGAGGCATCAGGCTGAAGAGAGGCATCAGGCTGAGTAGAGGCATCAGGCTGAGTAGAGGCATCAGGCTGAGTAGAGGCATCAGGCTGAGTAGAGGCATCAGGCTGAATAGAGGCATCAGGCTGAATAGAGGCATCAGGCTGGGTACAGGCATCAGGCTGGGTACAGACATCAGGCCGGGTACAGACATCAGGTTGAAGTGCGGGTGCCGAGGCACCAGGCTGAACCACGGAAGGCAGGTTCTCAGATGGCAGGCTCACCGGTTTGGATACTGGCAGGATGGTACTGGTTGGAAAGAGTTTTCGCTTTTTTCTGGTTTTAACTACTGGAGCACTGCAAGTAAACGCAGGTCTGCAAACGAATGGAGCAGCTGGAGAGACAGAGAAGAGCTGGAGGATGGAATAGGGGAGGGAGCAGTTGCTACAGAGGGCTTTTTTACAGGGTTAAAGGCAGGATAGGTGCAGCGAGTGGGAACAGGGTATTGACATGCGGTAGATAGCAGGGCAGGAGGAGCTGTTGGGAATGCAGGAATAGAGCTTTGAGGAAATAGATTAGAAGCAGGACTGGGTTTTTGTAGGCTGACTGAGGCTGGGTGCAACAAATCTGTCCATGTCTGCAGTATGGGTTGAACAAAGCTGAGCTTACACAAAGCCTGTCTGACCAAAGACTGCACTGCGTTTATACAATCTCTTAGTACCTGTGGTGAACATGCAGCATAATGCTCCAAGAAGCAATCCACATCATCCTCTAATAACCATACTAGGGACTCTACCTGGTCGGCACTAAATGGCGGCAAAAATTCATCCCTGCATTCGGGGTACCAGATGAAACCAACTCCGCACAAATCTGAATCAATGGCTGCACCTCAGAGAATTCTGTGCCCTGATCTACTAGAACATGAGCGAGCCGTATACATTCTAGCAGTTCATCCCCCGTGGATACTCCTTCAGAGTTTGATAAAGCATACTCTCTGTCATCAAACACTAGCAGATATAAATACACAACCTCATCAAGATCCATCCTTCCCATCAACAAACCAAGATGGCTTCCCTGTGCAGCCACTTCTGGTCAGGATTGGCCTTGGTGTAATGTCAGGGCTCCAGGGTGTGACCAGAGGTATGTGACTGACGCAGGGAAACGCAGGCTTCAGATATGTTATAAATATAAATTTATTAACACTAACAATACATAAACGCAGTGCAATACTAAAACATAACAGTGCAAACGAACCAAACCAAACCACCCACAGATAACAGTACATACAATGCAAGCGTCGTCAGGCAGGCCGGGATTATCAACAGGAGGTCAGAACGTATGGGGTTAAGCAGGAGAATGGTCAGACAAAGCCAGGGATCAGGAGCAGGAGAATGGTCAGACAAAGCCAGGGATCAGGAGCAGGAGAATGGTCAGACAAAGCCAGGGATCAGGAGCAGGAGAATGGTCAGACAAAGCCAGGGATCAGGAGCAGAGAATGGTCAGACAAAGCCAGGGATCAGGAGCAGGAGAATGGTCAGACAAAGCCAGGGAGCAGGAGAATGGTCAGACAAAGCCAGAGAGCAGGAGAATGGTCAGACAAAGCCAGGGATCAGGAGCAGGAGAATGGTCAGACAAAGCCAGGGATCAGGAGCAGGAGAATGGTCAGACAAAGCCAGGGATCAGGAGAATGGTCAGAGACAAAGCCAGGGAGCAGGAGAATGGTCAGACAAAGCCAGGGATCAGGAGCAGGAGAATGGTCAGACAAAGCCAGGGATCAGGAGCAGGAGAATGGTCAGACAAAGCCAGGGATCAGAGCAGGGGTCAGCAACGAATCAGACAGGAACAGGGAGCAGGAACAGGATACAGGGCCCAGGAGAAACACACACCAAGGCAGAGTCTGCAGGTCTGGCCATCCCTTAAATACACCAGTATAATCAGTTCCAGGTGTTTGGCTGGCTTCAAGGTTGAGTCTCTGATTGCTGGGAGCACCCGCTGGCCAGCCCTGGTACTGCAGCCCATAAGGCTGGTGAGTCCCACCATTGCTGGCCAGTCCATTCCTGACAGTATTGTTGCTGTATTGTCTCCTGTTATATTGTAAAGTGCTGCGCAAACTGTTGGTGTGATATAAATCCTGTATAATAATAATAATACCAGCACTGCAGTTTGACTTGGTGGCGTGGCGAGTCCCATAAGTGTAGTACAAGCTGGTGCGGTGGCGAGCACAAGTATTGTTCGGATTTACGAGGGAAATGATAGTCACGTGGAGCCCCCCCAGATGTCCAGACTACATGAGGAGAGCAGTGGCAAGATAGTTTGGGACTTGGTGTCATCCTTCTCCATATGGGGCCCCTTCTCTTCTCCATCTACACCTCCTCCCTTGGCCAACTGATACACTCCCTCGGCTTCAACTTCCACCTTTACGCCGATGACACGCAATCTACCTCTCTACCCCTCACCTCACACCTTCAGTCTCCGCCCGAATCGCCTACCTAATGAACGACATATCTGTCAGGGCTCCGGTATGACCAGAGGTGTGTGGACTGACACAGGGAAATGCAGGCTTCAGATATGGTATAAACAATATGATTTATTAAGATTAAGACTAACAATACAAAACGCAGTGCAAAACTAAACATAAACACAGTGCAAACAAACCAAACCAAACCACCTACAGATAACAATACATACAATGCAAGAGTCGTCAGGCAGGCCGGGTCAGTAGCAAACGGGCAAACAGAATACCAGGAACAGGCGGGAGAGTGGTCGGGGTCACAAGCTGGGTTCAGTAACTCACAGGCAGCGCGGTGCAGAGGGTCAGGCAGAGAATGGTCAGGGTCACAAGCCAGGGATCAAACAGGAGAAGTCAGCAGAGGTCAGGATCAGGCAGGGTCGGCAACAAGTCAGGCAGAAACAGGAACAGGAACACAGGATACAAGATACAGGGGCCCATGGAAAAACACACACCAAGGCCCTGACTGTGAGTCTGGCCATTCCTTAAATACAACCCCTGCAATCAGCTTCAGGTGTTTGGCTGACTGCAGGGGTGAGTCTCTGATTGCTAAGAGCACCCGCTGGCCAGCCCTGGTACTGCAGCCCACAAGGCAGTTTGAGTCCCACCATTATTGGCAAGTCCATTCCTGACAATATCAGACTGGATGTCACTCCACTTCCTCAAATTAAACCTTTCCAAAACCGAGCTCCTAGTTTCCACCCAGTCCCGCGCCCACACCCTAACCTCTCCATCACGTTAAATAACGCCACCATCAGTCCCACCCCGCAAGCCAAAGTTCTAGGTGTCACTCTAGACTCCAATCTATCCTTCCAGCCCCATGTCCAATCGCTGGCAAATTCATGCAGGCTCCACCTCCGCAACATCTCCAAAATACGATCGTTCCTAACCCCAGACACTACTAAACAACTCATTCACTTCCTTGTTATCTCACGACTCGACTACTGCAACTCCTTCCTCACCGGCCTACCTCAACACAGACTCTCCCCGCTTCAGTCTATCCTGAACTCAGCGGCCAGACTCATCCACCTTACCAACCACTCCGTATCCGCCACCCCCCTCTGTCATTCCCTCCACTGGCTTCCGATTGCCCAACATATAAAATTCAAACTACTAACACTGACGTTCAAAGCTATTCATAATACTGCCACAAACTACCTCACCGACCTTATATCCAAATACCACCCAACATGTACTCTTCGCTCCTCACAAGAGCTCCTACTCTCCAGTTCCCTGGTCTCCTCCCATGCCCGACTCCAGGACTTCTCCAGGTCTTCCCCCATCCTCTGGAACTCACTACCCCAATCCATCAGACTGTCACCTACCCTCTTCACCTTTAGGCGCACCCTGAAAACCCATCTCTTCAGGGAAGCCTACCCCGCCCTTACCTAACAGCCGATCTCCTCCTACCACTCCATCCCCCACAGCCGGTGTTTCTGCTAGCTGACCATAGAGCTCATTGAGGACCAGAATAGTGCCAATCATCTCTATAGCCTAAGAAATCGGAAGCTACGAGCATTTCATCCCTTCAGTTTCACAGGATATAAACATTTGTAAATTGGGAAAGCATCTGATCACACCGATCTTGGTTTGATTCGATAATGTAAGGGAAGAGGAGATATCTAGATTCTGATAGACCCCAGATTTCTCAAAAAAGACTATATGACAATGCCCATTGAAGTTATAGGGAATATTTGCATTCCCTGTGATAGCATTAAAAGTGATCGAAAAAAAAAAATGAAGGGACAGTGTAAAAATAATAAAAAAAATCAAAATAACTTAAAAAAATTAAATAAAAAAGTACCCTCGCCCCCCCGTGCACGCACGCATCTGTGTTCGTGAGCATTGACCCTGTGCCAGTATGGAAACAGCAGTTGCATCATGCATGTGAGGTATCGCCACGTACGTCAGATCAAGGGCAGTAATTCTAACACTAGACCTCCTCTGTAAATCTAAAAAGGTAGCTTGTAAAGGCTTTTAAAACCGTGTCTATGGATATTAAAAACGTATGCAGTTTCTCGCCATTGCATGGGGCATGCACAGTTTTAAAGCATGTCATGTTTGGTATCTATTTACTCGGCATACCATTATCTTTTATATTTTACCAAATAATTGGCCAATATTTAGTGTTTTTTGTGCATTAAAAATAAAAAAAAAGTGCATTTTTTCATGCCCCCACCCACCCACCAAAACGACCCCTTTTTGGAAAGTAGACACCCCAAACTATTTGCTGAGAGGCATGTTGAATCAATAGAAGAATTTATTTTTTTACCACAACGTTTTGTAAAATGACAAACAAAAATGTTTTTCTTTTTTTTCACAAAATTGTCACTTATATGATTTATTGCTCACACATGCCATGGGTATATGTGGAATTACTCCTCAAAATACATTCTGCTACTTCTCCCGAGTATGGGGGTACCACATGTGAGAGAGATGCATTCTCAGGTTGCTCCGATGGCATGTGAGAGACGTTTTGGCAGTCTAGCCAAGTACAGGACCCCAAAATCCAATAAGCACCAACAGGCTTTTAAAGGGCTTTATTTCCTCATTACACTTCCTGACTACCTATCACAGTTTCGGAGGCCCTGAAATGCCAGGATAGCACCAAATGGCCACTTTTTGGAAAGTAGACACCCCAAGGAATTTGATCAGAAGCATGGTGAGTATTTTGCAGATCTCGTTTGTTGCCACAAGTTTTTGAAAATTGAAGCAAAAAAACAACATATTTTTTTCTTTCCTTTTTTTTATTTCAAAACCTTGTGAGAAAAAATTAGATCTGAAAAATACTC